CTACTATTACTATTACTACTACCACTACTACTACTACTACTACTACTACTACTATTACTGCTACTACTACTACTACTACTACTACTACTACTACTACTACTACTACTATTACTGCTACTACTGCTAGTCCAACCACCACCACCACCACCACAACCCCCACCACCACCACCACCACCACCACCACCGGTTCTGCTACTCCTCCTCCTCCTCCTCCTCCTACTACTACTACTACTACTACTACTAATGCTACTACGTATACTGCTCCTGCTACTGCTACTGCTTCTGCAGCTACTGCTATCGCTACTGCTACAGCTGCTGCTACTGCTGTCGCTATGATTCTGCAACCACTACCGCCATCCGCTACCATTACTGCTACGACTAACCTCTGAGATTGCTACTGTCACCGTGCGATTTCTGCAGCTGCTGCCGCTGCTGTGGCTGCTGCTGTCTCTGCTGCCTCTGGAGTTGTGTGTTGATCGCCACGGGTAGCGCCAGCGTTGCTACCAGAACGCCTGCATATGCCTTGATTTAGACTGCATAATTCCCGACATCGGAAGAACTTATTGGCCAAAGGAGCGAGGCTCAGCAACGGCTCGCGGCTTCCAGATGGTTGCAGCCATGTCGCTCAAAAGGTGGCCAGACATGACCAGCCGGTGTCGATGTTTCGAAAATTTACACGGTGCTTTGGGTCGGTGCTCAGGGCGTGAGTCGGTACGCGACGCGCGTCAATTTTGACCACACCATTTGCCTACTTTCTGTGGTACGCCAGTGGGGAGTTGGGGGCCTTTGCATAAATGCTCAGATCGTGCCCCGTGCAGGCAGCTCTTGTGGCTTTTGCGATGCTCTTTCGGTGCATGGGTTTGCTGGGGAGCCTCAGCCTGCAACGAAGAGGGACGCTTTTGGCATGCGTAAGTGAAAGCAACGTGAATGCTTTTGCACATGGATTGGCCAGGTGCACGAACACGGGATCATGTATTGAGAGATGAATGAAACTAAGCCTTAACGGACCTGTAGCACAGGGGACACATGCCTAGCACCTCAGTAGGGACCTCAGGACATGCAGAGCAGCAGCAGAGCCGCAGCGATTTTGGCCCCAGCACAGTAGCCCGAGTACCCTTGTACTCTCATTAGGGATCGCAAGGGGGGATTGCCTGCGTGTTTAGCAGCATCATGGTCGCGGACTCGACAGACCTCCGTTGGATGGCAACAGGCCTGATATTAATCGTGTCTTTCGCTGGTGTTGGCTTCCCATTCTTCGCGATGCGTTCCAACGAGAGGCTGTTCGAAGCAGTATGGTTTCAGCTGATGCGAGTGCTTTGTACAGGCCTCGTGGTTTCAGTTGCGCTGTTGCACGTACTTGCAGACGGCGAGGAATACTTGCGCAATGTTTCGACAACTTATCCCGTGGCAGATGCTGCAGCCCTTTTCGGAATCTTCGTGATGGTTGCTGTCAAGGAGATGGGGATGATGGCTCTGAAGTACGTGAAGCAGCACACCACTCCAAACGGAAACGGGCTCGAAGAGGGTCTTATCAACAAGGGAGTGGATCACGGCGAGTTTGGGCACACACACGGCCTCCCGCTCATCGAGCTTCACGACATGGACTTGTCAGGCCAGCCACTCAGGCGTTTTGTTGTCTACATGATGGAGGTCTCAATCATGGTGCACTCTGTACTTGTTGGCGTGGCATTGGGTGTATTGCAAAGGCGTGTCGCAGTTCTGTCCTTGACTGCAGCACTCCTGTTCCATCAGTTTTTTGAAGGCCTGGCACTGGGCGCCGTGGCTGTGAAGAGTGGTTTCAGCTTCAGGGGCTCATGGCACTTGTTCCTGACCTTCACGTTCTCATGTCCCATTGGAGCGGTCCTCGGGATATACTTTGCAAAGCAGTATGACCCCGCGGACCCCAGAACAGCTTGGACCCTGGGAATGCTCAATGCACTTGCTGCTGGCACGTTGCTTCATATAGGCCTGGTGGAACTACTCCCGGAAGATTTCAGGGAATGCAAAGATTGTCACAACCAGCCTCCTCGCTGGGCGAGCTTATTGGCTCTCTTCTTCGGCGGCATGATCATGGCAATCTTAGCGATTTGGGCCTGAAGTGCACAGTCATTCCGCATTGGCGGCATGGGGGGGTCGTGTTTCACATTGCAGGCACTTTCACCAGCGAGGTTGTAACTACCACCGATCAAAGAGTAACCGGAATGGTGCTCTCTTTTTTCAGACTTCGTCTGATGAGCAGTGACAGAGCTTCACTGCAAAGAGGGGAGATCTTGTTCGAATCTGTGGTTCGGAATGCATGTGATAGCGAACGTGACGAAAAGGTGGCGTTGCATTCACCGCGGTGCTAGGCACACGAGGCTAGTTCTTCCTTGACCAGCTCCCTTACGGTGCATCTGAAGCTTTCAGCGGTTGCATGGGACAGCCCGGCACGGCCACAAGGGACAGGGCTTGATTCCAAATGGGGGCTTGTCCGGGGGTGAACCTTTTTGACCAAAGGATG